GCAGACGCCCGACAGTGACAACTTTCCAATACAGAGCATTGGTGTGACTCGAAGTTACAGGTTAATCTAAGCCCCAACTTAATAAAGATCTATTACCATAACGCAAACCTATTTTTCAAACTTTCGTCATCCGTGGGATTTGAACCCTAGACCTGCTACTTGGAAAGGGTGACGACTTGACCACTTCACTAAGCCGCCACACCTCTACAACCATATTGATATAATATGTTTAACATATATATTATAATAAATTATAATTTAAAACAAAAAAGTATAAGCATAGTAGATTATAAAATATAGGTTTTTTGTTTTCATAATTATATGATTTATTTATTTGTATAAACAATACTTCAAGCTCTTGATTTGCAATTTGTAAAGCTAAGCTAAAAAAATAATATTTATTAAAATTTATTAGTACTAAGTTAATAAATTAATTAATTTTTTTAAAAATTTTATGTAATTTTCTTTTAAATTATTGCTTTTTTTATTTTTTTTATGATTTAAATAAATTAACAATCTTTAAATTAATAATATTATTATTAAAAATTTAAAAAAAATATCAAATAAATTATTATTTTTGTTAAAAGTTTTATAAAATATTTTTTAGTTAATAAATTGTTAAGTTTTGTTTAATAGTTTTTATAAATATTTTTTCATAAACAATATATATTAACTTTATTAAGCAATTTAAGAAAAAGAATAAAAACTTTGCCAATTACAAATTAATATACAAAATGTTTAGATTTACTAATTATATAAGTCAATTAATAATTAATATAAATTGAAAAAATAATAAAAAATAATTATATTTTTGTGTTTATTATTAGGAGGTTTGCTATAAAGAGTATTAATTATATTTATGAATTATTTAGTTCTATAGGATACTTTAGTTATGAGAGAATTTTTATCATTAATAATATAGAATCTTTAAACTCTGGAGGTGATTTTTGATCAGATGCTAATTCAAACTTAAATTCTTTTAACAACATTATTGTAAGTATTATTATTTCCAAAGTTGCAAATTGCTCTCCCACACTATAATTGCTAAAAATAATTTTAAAAAATTAATATATATAAAAGTAAAATTGTGTTGTAAATAATACTAACCAACTTCTAGGTCCACCACTAAAAGAAGCAAACTTGAATCTATTTGGTTTTAAATCATTCTTTAAATTTAAAAATCTTTTAGGATTGAATTGTTTTGCATCATCTCCCCAGATTTTTTCATCTCTTCCCATTATATAGAGATTAAATTTTACAAATTTTCCAGGATATACTGGAGTATTATTAGGTAGAATATCTTCTTTAATACAGACCTTTTGTTTATAATTGGAAAAGATTAAATAAAGATAATAAACCAATAATTTCATAAGAATATTATTATATTAATTACTCTTCCATTTACTGGAACACTAGGATATAACCGAAGAGTTTCATAAAGTGTAGCTGTAGTATATTTAAATAACTTAATATCATCATATAATGGAATTGGATTTTTTGCAATAAGAAATGAATTAATTTCTTGAAGCAATAAATCTTCAACAGACTGATTTGCCATAATCGCATACATTATCCAAGATAGAGACTATATAATTTAAATATTTAGTATAAAGATAACTTTTTTTAAACCAGTTATTGCAACTTACCAATGCAGTAGTATCACGACCTAAATAATAAATTTTATTTAAAGAAAAAATTAGATATTTAACTCACAACATATTCATCGGGGAAATTTTTTAGTGCTATTCTGTGAAGATTTGCAAAAAAATTAAATAATAAATTAAATGAAAATCTGTGCAAAACTTCAGACTCACTAGCTATAGCCAAGAAATTAAAATACAGTTCTGTGCAATATTTTAAAATATAAAAAATTTTGCAGTTTTTTGCAAAAAATTCTGCAAAAATCTGCATTTTCGCAGGTTTTTGCAGATTTGCACTTATTTAATTCTCCCGATGAACATGTTTTCTATAGTGATTTACTGTAAAAAATTCTTACAGACTATTGTGGTGATGCAAGTGATTTAGGTATGGTTATGTTAGTTTTGTATTGGAGTGAACGTGATTTACTGTAAAAAATTCTTACAGACTATTGTGGTGATGTAAGTGATTTAGATATGGTTATGTTAGTTTTGTATCGGAATGAACGTGTTTTCTATAGTGATTTACTGTAAAAAATTCTTACGGACTATTGTGGTGATGCAATTGATTTAGATATGGTTATGTTAGTTTTGTATTGGAATTAACGTGTTTTCTATAGTGATTTACTGTAAAAATTTCTTACCGACTATTGTGGTGATACAAGTATGCTTATGTTAGTTATAGTGATTGACTATAAAAGTTCTGTTACTGTACTCACAGACTTTTGATTGAAATAAATGGTGTTCAAATTATTATTTACTTTTAAGATACATATCATACTCACAACTCCTTAACTAATTCATTAGCCTTCTTTGCCCATATGTCATTTGGTTTGATTCTTAATAATTTCTCCAGGTCAGCGATTGACTCATTATACCTTTTTATCACATAGTTAATTTCTCCTCGATATTTTAATGCTACTGTATTATTTGGCATTATTTCTAGCAATTTAGTAAAATCCCTCAATGCTTCATCATATTTGCCCATAATAAAAAATAATTTTCCTCGGTAGGTTAATTCAAATACATTAATTGGTTTCCTTTTTTTTTTAGTGATTTTGTCAATTCGTCGGTTAAATTAACAAGCATGTTCTCATATCCATCCATAATAAAATAAACCTTTTCTTGATATTCTAATGCTAATGCATTATTATTTGGTTTTAAGCAAATATTTTCATTGGTCATTGCTGCCAATTGAAATATATATATATTGACAAAATTAAATTTTAAATAAGCTAAAAGCGATTAATCTCTTCGAATAAATTTACCAGAATATTTAAATTTTTCTCTGCCGAAATTCACTTCTACTAACCCGCCTTGCGATCTAAATCCAATACAAGGATATAGAATGCCTTTGAAATCGCTATTTAGATGGCACGCAATTCCTTAAATATTTTATAATTATTAAATTTCTGTCTGATCATTTTAAAATATAACCTTTTAATTCTAAATGCTAAATGTTGATTACCTAAGTTAATTCCATTTTTAGTATAAAATACTATATTACTTCTAAAATTTAGATAGCATCCAACTATATCACCAGTAGTATATCCAGGAGCATTTCCTTTATGTGGTAAATCATATGGCTCGCCACTTCCCGAACAAAAAGAATATCCGTCGTCACCATGGTAACCACACCCCCATGATTCATTTTCCTTATTTTCCTGTCCTAAAATATATGATATAGACGTTAATCTATAATAATAAGAAAATAAAAATTTGCTATTACCAGGCATGAGCATATTATTTATATAATTTGAATCGTCAATTTTTTTATCACTTTGCTTTGTACAATATCCGATTCCAATCATTCTATTAAGAAAATAGAATTAAAAGATTATAAAAAACCACCAGAACAAAGGTGATGTCTATGATATGAAATAAATATTAATATTACCCATTTTTTCCTTTGTTTAAAATTTTAATTTCAAAGTAAAATATTCCACACTCTGAAGGGATTGGATTGTTTGCTCGAACGATTACAGCTTTAAAGTCATCAGGATCTTTAATTAAAAGAGTTTAAATAAATTAAATAGCTATGATGATATTCTTTTAAATGGCGGTTTACAGTAACATTAAATATATTTCTGCAAGTTATCTCACCTGTATAACTCACTTTAATTCCACTTGAATCTATGTCAATAAATGGTGATTTATCTTCAACATCCCATGCAGTCGGTAAAACTAATTCTAAATCTCCCATTGTTATAGGTTAAAATTCAATTAAGATCTTTTGATAATGAACAAAAGTAATTTATACGTAGAAATATTAACGAACACAATGTACTATTTATGTATATGTACGTAGTTGTATTCTGTACTACTGTAACGATTAATTTTTCCCGTGTCTCCTCATTTCCGTATTTGTCTAATTCTTTAAGTTGTCACTTACTCCATAATTATACTATTATAGTAATGTAAATCTTACCTTAGTAGTATTAGGCATTATAATGTATTGTTAGAGTGAACTCATGTAACCGCGAATACGCTGTGGTTACAGCGAATACGCTGAAGCTACTACGAGTACGCTGTGATCATTATGATCACGCTCTAAAAATTTATCACGTATATAAGTGCTCGCTCTCACCCTTGATTGAGAGAAGACATGCTCTCCGAATTCCTCTCTAAAATAAAGATAACATATGTTTACTTTTTATAATAAATGCCTAATTAATCATGAATATCCGAATACCATAATCTATTGCCCAATTCATGTGATCCTTCTAACGTCAACCATCGGAGTTAAACTCGGCATGACAAAACATTACGATGGTTACACTACGTATAAAGTGTTACAAGCTAAACGATAAGTATATTAATAACTTAATCTTATTAATATCAATATATTTGAATCTGTGTAATCCTTTTTAAAGTCTGCGAATAATGATTTTCTTTACGTAATACTGTAATATATATACAGTATAATTATTGAATGCGAAGCAGACAATAACATGAATCATTGTATGGTACGGAAAAGCTGTATTATGTAATTATAAGTCAAATGAATATCAAATAATACGTACAAAAAATATGTTATGTGAACCTGATGAAACAATGTTGGATTAGAGATTTAGAAAAGCGGTCAGGAGAAGAACTCTGAAGTTTTTTAATTAAAAAATGGAACTAAAAATACTTAAGCATATCAGTAACTTTGACATAAATGCAAATAGTTGGTAGCAAACAATTAGTTTATATTAATCAAAATCAAAATTACATTTTATTTTGGAACTGTGGTCAATATTTTATATTATTGCGCTTTTTAAATTATTGTGTCCACTGATTTTCTTACATCACGCTGAAAATCAGAAATCTAGAATAAATAAAATACTTGATTGGCTAAAAATTATTTTTAACCAATCACAGATTTGCATTTATTCTATATTTCTGATTTCCAATGTGATGTATGAAAATTAGTGGACACAGTAATTTGAAAAGCGCTATAAATATATAGGTAAAAACAAAAAACCTAAGTAATGATTGGGTTCGATCGTGTCTTGAAAACGAATTCAGTTTAGATAATTCAATCTATATTCAATAGAATAGATAGCTGTGAATAATTAATTGACAAATCGTAATTAAAGGGTACAAAATGATCGACATTTATTAATTATAAGTGACGGGCATTTAATAGTGA